TGGAAATGGATCTCGTTGTTGCTTTCCCACCAAACACTCTTCACAAATTTTCGTGTGTACTGGGAACTTTGGTAAGCCCTTCACCATATCCTTTCGTTGAAGGATTTTTAGACCGCTCCAACTCAAATGTCCATATCTACGATGCCATAATTGAGGTTGATCATCCACAATAGTGTTGAAACACTTCTGTCCTTGTGATTGTGTGCGAGCCAGTAAGAAAAACATTCGATGTGTTGCCATTGTGGTTTCCCAGATCAGTCCTTTTTCTAGATGATAAATCCCGCACTTGCCATTTTTGATAAGAAAAACAAGACCCTTCGCTTGCAATTGTCTAATGCTCAGTAAATTATTCTTCAAGTTCGGCACATAGAATACTCCAATGATGACCTGCATGATTCCATTGACTTCTTTACGAATATTTCCCTTTCCTAGCACAACCAAACTTGAATTGTTCCCCAACTTCACAGATTTCTTGAAGGTGTTATCCAAATCTGTGAACATCTCCTTCTTGCCACACATGTGATTGCTGCATCCCGAGTCCAAGAACCATAATTCTTCTCTGTCGACCCCTTCGATATCCACGTAAGCCATCAACAACATTTCTTCACTGGTTTCTGCATAGATACCTTTTGAATCCTCCCCTTCTTAGGACATTCCCACTGAAAAATGCCCAAGTTCGTGACAGTTGTAACATTCGAGGGTAGACTTGTCAGGTCCATTTCTACCCCTTCCCTGTCCTCTTCCTCTGAAACTATTGCATCCACCTCGCCCACCTTGTTGGACATCATAAGTGACATTTAGAGCTTGCTCATCCACTGTGTGTCTCCCCATCCTTTGCTCGTGTACTAACAAGCTGCTTTGGAGTTCATCGATGGACAAGATGTCGAGATCATTTGACTCTTCAATGGAGCATACCACATAATCATATTTAGAAGTCATTGATCTCAGAATCTTTTCGATGACCACCACATCTGCCATCTTTTCCCCCCATGAATCCTCATCTTGTGGTTATGGTGAGAGTTTGTGCAAAGTACTCATTCACTGATTCCCCTTCCTTCATATGCAGAATTTCAAACTCTTTGCAAAGAGCTTGTAACTGTGCACGTTTGACGCGTGCTGTGACCTGGTACTTCTGCTTTAAGGAGTCCTAGATGTCTTCTGCGGTATCTTTCTTCAATATTGTCTCCAGGATTGATCGATCAATGGTCTGAAACAAATAATTTTTAGCTTTCAAATCCTTTAGCCTTTGATCATCAATGGTCTTCTTCCGTTCATCTGTGAGATTACTCTCGTTTGCTACTGCAGGAATCCCAGTCTCCACCAAGTTCCAATATTCTTTGGAACGCAAGAAATTCTCCATGAGCATGCTCCAATGATCATAGTGTCCATCAAACCTCGAAATTGCAAGTTGCACAAAGCTACTTTCAGTCGTCATGGCGTCGTTGTTGAATGATGAAATTAGCTTCACTCAGGCCCCGTGATGGAGCTCTGATACCAAATGGTGGAAACCTTAGATGTTGGAAACTTTTCCTTGAGTACTCAAATACTGGGAGAATCTATTATTCAATCAAAGAACAAACATGACATTAAATAGCCTTACAAAGAAAACAGAATGCTGAAAAAATGCAGCCCACTAATAACGTGATACAAATTAAATCAGAATCAAATAGCTTATCCCTAAATAATAGGTCTTATTAACAACAACGGAAGCAACCCTACAAACTAGGAAATCTTAACAACTTCAACAACGTCGACCTCAACGAAGTATATGTGCATCATAATTTACTACTATATAAAAGTACAATTATGCCTTTCTTTTTTCTTTTTTCTTTTTTTTTAATCAAGATACAATTATGCCTTCAATCTTCATCCTTACTTCCCCAAATTATTTTTGAAATGCCCAAATTAAGCACAAACACCGTCCAAAATCAACTAGCTTAAACAACCCATCAATACAAACCTCCAGCACTCACAGCCCCTCCTCAGCACTTTCACCTCCATTTGGCAGCCGCCCCAAACCCAGCACAACAACATCCCCCCTTCACTGTCAACTCCACAATGACACAAACAAAAACAACCAAAACATCACAACAAATGTCTAGCAGCAAAGAACACACATAACTCAAATTATCTCTCCATTTCTCTATACAATATCAATACATCTCTTGCCTTGAACTCCAATCGGCTCAACCTCGGAGCACAGAGAGAATAATCTGACGAGAAAGAGCTCATTGGTGTCGATTGTGGTGTCAGTGATGTTGGGTGGAGCAGCGGCGATGAAACAGTGTTTTTGGTTGTAGCTGATGGTGTTGGCACGTAAGGGTTTGCAGGGAGCGTGTTTCATAGTGGAGGTTCCACCGTTAGGGAGAAAAAGATAGATTTGTGGTCGAGGCGGTTCATAGGAGATTCATCGTTAGAAAGAGAGACAAAGATCTATGAGTGAAGGGGTTTCTTAGTGGGTGCTTCACCGCGAGTGAGAGTGACAGAAGAGGAAATTGCGAGTAAAGGAGTTTCACATGAAAGGTGGATTCACTTCCGTCGGACATAAAGAGTGTGAACAGTGTGTTGGGGAAGATGAGGGGTCTACGGCTGTTGGGTTTAGCAACCGGGGGAATCTGAGAAAGGGCAATGTTGTCATTTCAGCTACTTGGTGATCTAAACATGGCTATTATCCGTCACTTTTAACGGCTGAAAATTAACGGGAGGAGTTAATTGAAAAATAATAATGATATGAATATCACTTTTGAAAAATAATAATAATTTTTGTACACCATATGACGTGGCATGATCCTAGTCTTTGAAAATTTAATAAATAATTGTTATCAATTTTTTGTATGTAAATGCATACGTAAGTGGTTTGTACTATCAATAAACATTTGTTTATTTCACATGTATAGATCAAAAATAAAGAAAAATATTTATCCATGATTTTATCCTTCCTAAGTTTCAAATTTTCTTCCTCTGCCTAACCTTTTTTTTTTTCTAACAACCATTTGGTTGAAAAAGAGATAAAATAAAATGGTACCAAGAACTTGATATAAAATTTTTAGATGTTTTCCTCTTTCTTTTGACAAATTTTTAAGTTTTTCGTTATAGTGATATGAAACAAAATTAATATCTTAAAGTTCGTTTGGTTAGGAAGAAAAAAATGATGAAAAGTGAAAATGATAGAAAGTGAAGTGAAAGAAAAGAAAGTGATAGGAAATATATTTTCGTGCATATATTTGGTTAGAATGAAAAATTTACAAGAAAATTTAAAAAAAATTTCATTCTATTGTTTATAAAAGAAAGTAAATTTATAAATTTGTTTTTATAATTATCTAAATTACCCTTAGTTATATTAAATTGATCTAAAAAATATAATTATAATTAAAAGTTACAAAATTTTAAAAAAGTGACTCAATCTAATTTTAAGACAATCACCAACACATACGTCTTTTGGTCAAATTATATAATTAATTAAATTTATACCAAAATTTTTTAAAATTAATAACCAATAAAATATTTTAAGAAAAAAAATGGTCAAATGAAAAGTTAATTATAGATCACAATTTTTTTACATTTCTTTATGGTTTTTTACAAAAAAAATTAGTTATTTGTGAAAAAATTTAAGCATGAAAACAAATTAATTTTTCTTTTATTTTCCTTTTCATGCTAACTAAACATATAAAAATTTTAAAAATTTTTTTTTGTATTTTTTATTATTCACCCACTAAACAAACGAAAAAAATTTTATAATTCACCCATAAAGTGGAATAAAAATAATAGTTCAGTGGATATAAAGTATAATTTACTCTAAAAAGTGCACCAGTCACTTTCTCCATTATTCTGTACGTTTGTCTTATTCTTCTGTTCATCAAACCCAAAATGACGAGTGAGACTTGAGGCTCGGTCGTCGCTCACTCCCTCCCTCTACTCCGTTTAATTCAAAAACCCTCGTCTCCCTCATCTTCTCTTACCTTTTTTGCTTCAAAATCTGGGGTTCCCACCGTCCACATTTGCCAAAAATATCTAACAATCTATGTAATTGGAGTAAGTTCTGTCTATCTTCTCTATCTCTCTCAGTTTATCTATATATGCATGTATAATTGTACATTATGCATGGTCTGGTATACTGGAGTGATTTACATTGTTGTTCACATTTTAATTTTGGCAACACCATACTTTTTGAATGGATTCGTTTCATGCATGCTCGTGTTTTAGTAGTTACCTGATATGGTTTCGTTTTGAGTGTTTGATTTTGGTTTATCCTTTGTTTGGTTGTTAAGAAAATGGATGGAAAGTAAAGAAATTCTTATAAGTCATTTGCTTCAGTTGAAGGCTTTGACTCCAAAAGTCCGAATTTCTTCATGGTTGTGAATCATCTTTGTTGCTAATTTTTCGATTATTTTTAGTCTTTGTTGTTCCGGAAGTACACGTGGAGCTCAAGACACTATTCTAGAGGGGCGTGAATAGGTTTTTCAAATTATGCTCAATTGATTACCAATTAGAAACCTAATCCACCACAATTACATCGTGTACTTGGATATGCTTAGCCGATTGAGTTCAATTTTTTTGATAAATGTAATGTAAAATTGATGTTAGTCTGCTTGCATGCGAGTTTTGTTATCCACGAACAGGTACAGTTTGAATTTTTTGAATTTTGAAGGTTAAACTTTTCTCAATTCAATACAACTTGATTTAAGTCGTTTATTTGTCTATGGAAAACTTAAATTAGGAAGTATGCACTTTTTTTTCTTTTTTTTTCAGGGCAAGAAAAAATTGCATAAGATTTTGTTCTTTAAGCCTGAGGTGGGGGAGTAGAAGACTGAACTGTGTCCAACTGTAGGTCAGGATTGTCCCAAACATGGCCCATGCATGATCATTTTGAATTGTGCTAATTACAATTTCTAACCTTTGAACACACTCTTAGGTATCAATTCTGATAACGTGTCCTAGAATAAGTCGATTTATTGATGATTTACATATTTGCTTGTTCAATTTTAACAATTTTGCTCTTCATGAAACTTATATTTGCATTGTCTTGCACTCCTGGGTCTGCTTTTGTGGGTTTGATGGGAAGTGAAATGGATTATAGTTCTGGGGAAGACGCAGACGTAAGTGAATCCAAAATAGATCAGTATGAAGATATAGCTTATGAAGAATTGAAGAGTGGAAGCCACCTCATCAGAATATCCAATGAAGCTTACACTTGCCCATACTGTCCAAAGAAAAGAAAGCGAGATTACCTATACAAGGAACTCTTACAGCATGCAAGTGGTGTGGGCAAGTGTAATTCACAAAAGAGAAGTGCAAGAGATAAAGCCAATCATCTAGCATTGGCAAAATACTTGGAGAAAGAATTAGCAGTTGTCGTGGGTCCGTCAGAACCTGTTGCTGAGGTTGATCCTCTAGCAGATCATGATGGTGATGAGATGTTTGTGTGGCCATGGATAGGAATTGTTGTTAACCTTCCTACTGAAAGGAAGGACGGGCGTTGTGTTGGGGAAAGTGGTTCTAAGCTAAGGGACCAGTTTATATGGAGAGGCTTCAATCCCACAAGAGTGCACCCTCTCTGGAATTATCGTGGCCATTCAGGAAGTGCGGTTGTGGAATTCAATAATGGTTGGTCTGGGTTCAACAATGCCATGTCTTTTGAGAAGGCTTACGAGGCTGATCATCATGGGAAAAAGGACTGGGAGGCAGTGAATGCTCAAAAGTCTGATGCTTCTGATCTTTATGCTTGGGTAGCTCGTGCTGATGACTACAATTCCAATGGCATAATTGGGGAACATCTCCATAAGATGGGAGACATTAGAACCATCTCTGATATAATGGCGGATGAAGCCCGTAAGACAAGTCAGCTAGTATGTAATTTGACAAATGTCATCGAGGTTAAGAAGATGCACTTAAAAGAGATGGAGGAAAAATGCAATGAGACTTCAAAGTCCCTTAGCATGTTAATTGCTAAAAAAGATGAGCTTTATCTGGATTACAATGAAGGTATTTGCTGTCCCCTTGCTTTATTACTATTTCAGCTTACTTTTTTTAATATGAGTTGAAGAAAGTCTAATCTAGTACATGTGTGGTTCTGCTATAGATAAGCCGGAGTAGCCTAGCTTTCTGCAAACAGCAACAATTTGAGTTTTTGTTGTTCTCATAATTAGGATTTGACTTTGTCAAGTATCTGCATTGATAGTAGCTTTTGGTAACCAGAGATAAAAAAGATTCAGTCAAGTGCGCGGGAACATTTTCAGAAGATTTTTAATGACCATGAAAAGCTTAAGCTGCAATTGGAAACTCAAAAGAGAGAGCTCGAGCTCAAGGGTGAAGAATTGGAGAAACGTGAGGCGCAAAATGAAAACGAAAGAAAAAAGCTCTTTGAAGAGATTGAAAAGGTTCAGCATTTCATGCTTGTGGTTGCATGCTTTATATTGAATTTGCTTCTTTCTTGCAATTTGATGAAAACTGTAGAATTGAACATCCCCCCTCCCTGTGGCAAAAAAAAAAAAAAAGAAGAAAAGCCTCCGTCAGTATTTATTCTGAGGACTAGTAATTATTGATATAGCTACAACAGGTCAATGCTTTCCGAAGGGGAAGACCAAGGGAATTGACCCTTTTCTACCTAGTTACATGGATTAATTATTATGAAATCTGTATTTGCAGTATGGTGTCATAATCGGTATTTAGACTGATTAAGTTAGCCTGACTGCATCCTCAAAGTTTTGTGTTCCATGGTTTGTTTAAGATACTTATTATTGTGTCCTCCACCAGATATTGAGGGGAAGTACCCTTTGGATGGGACTCTAGTGATTAGTATCATGGATGACTCATGTCCAAAGTCATACTTAATCTAGTTTTATCACATTTGCCTGTTCATTGGTAGCAATGTTGTATTGGTGTCACTGGATGTGATATTGTGATATGATTAGCGCTCATAAATTCCTGGATCCTAATTGTAATTAGTTAATTACTAAGTAACTGGGATTTTTGATTGCTGCAGTTGCCCCTTTCACACTCCACAGATCCCCATGTGAACCATTAAGCAGTACTATTCCTGCAAGTGCTTGTTTTGTCTATGTTCAACCTTACAGTCCTTTTGTCTGCGGTTATTTTTACAGATCAGAGTTTAATACCATAATACAGTTTGCCAAAAAGAAACATTAATATGCACTGTGGCTGTGCACTGGGGCTGCTATTTTATATGTTTGTCTACAGCAGTACTTGGAGATTATTGTGCTTAAAATGTTTACTTAGCTAGAAATTGTTGAGAAACCATGCTTTGATTTTCTTCCAGAATACTATGGAAAATAGTTCACTTCAGACAGCTGCTGAAGAGCAGAAAAAAACTGATGAAAATGTAATGAAATTGGCAGATATACAGAAGGTGCTTTACTGTTTATATTTTCCTTTGAGTAATTAGTGGAATCTATATATGCCAAGTGCAAACATCTTATAATATGTGGCATGGATGTGATTACTAACTTCAGAAGCAAAAAGAGGATCTCCATAAGAAAATCATTCAGCTGGAAGAACAACTGGATGCAAAGCAAGCAGTGGAGCTAGAAATTGAGCGTCTGAGAGGAACATTAAATGTTATGAAGCACATGGGAGATGATGGTGATTTAGAAGTTTTACAAAAGGTGGAGGCAATGCAGACAATGTTGAGGGAAAAGGAAGGAGAATTTGAGGATTTAGAATCATTGAACCAAGCTTTAATAGTGAAGGAGCTCAAGAGCAATGATGAGCTTCAGGAAGCTCGTAAAGAACTGATTAATGTAAGTCCTTTTAATTTCATTTCTTCTTCATCAGTCGGTATAATTACAATATGCCTTGCATACCATAAATTTTTATCGGAAAACACTATCAATAATCTTCTCAGCTTCTGTATAGAAGTTGCTTGTGATTGTAGATTGTCTGAAAGAATCTTCACAAGTATTGACTTTTATCTGTGCTCCTGAGAGTTAGGCATGGCCCTTTAGCCATGCGTGTTGCTAAGACTAGATTATGCAGATAACTAGGATCCTTTTTGATATAATGAAAAGGCAAAAAAGAATGCATGCATGCATAAGAACTTGCGTAGTTGGTAGTGCACTGCACCAGAACTACTTCGAATGATGATTAATGATTTTGTTTTTTTGTTTTTTTTTCTCTTCTGTATTTGTTTATTTTTTTGTTTGGTTTTACTGTAGCTCTATGTCTCTCCCCTTTTGTATTGTTTTCCTTTTCTCACTTGAACTTTATTTGATATAGATGATCCCAGTGTTTGATTCAATGTTGTGAGGGCCATTTTTTTCCCACTGTTGAGAGGGCCTAGGAGATGTGTGCATTTTAGTATGTTGTAGATCTTCAGCTTTTTATCGTGGTGGATGCATTTGGCTCTGGCTTATCAGATTTCCTTTTAATTTTGCTTCAGGACTTCTTTTTCACATGGCACAGCCCTAAACTTTTGGGAGAAGTACTAATTAAGTTCCTTTGTAGGGCTTGAAAGACCTATCAGAGACTGCTCATATAGGTATTAAGAGAATGGGGGAGCTCGACAACAAACCATTCCATGAAGCAATTAAGAGGAAGTATAATGAAGTAGAAGCAGACGAGAGAGCTTCAGAATTGTGCTCATTGTGGAAGGAGTATCTTCGAGATCCTGATTGGCATCCCTTCAGAGTCATCAATGTTCATGGAAAACATCAGGTAAAGTAGCATAGGCACTTTTGAACTTGGGAAGCATTATATTGGAATTCTGCAATGATTTTTCTACTGTAAACAGTGTTCTACAGGAATATGAAGTTAATATTTTTGTGTAGTGTTTGCATTACAGTTGCAAGGTTCAAAATATGACGAACTCTCTCCCTCTGTCTTCTCTTTTCTTTGGCTTAAATGTGTGGCATGATATATCAAAATATGTGGACTGCGGTCCATAGTTTCTTATGTTAGGCTGGGTGCTTTACAGCACAATTGGATTGGTGCCCTCCTTTTGGAATTGGTGAGCGAAAAAATTAAAGCTACTTTTTTGCCAATTGCCATTGTGGCATAATCTTGTACTCTCCTTTTTCCTGTCTCTGTCTCTGTCTCTGTCTCCCCCTCTAGCAATCCCAATGAGGCATGTTAGAACTGGTCATTCTCTGACTATGTCGATTGGCTGTGATATTGCATCCATTGACAAGTTTGGTGAAATCTGAGACTAGGACATCTAGAGAAAAGTTCGTTTTATTCACTAGAAAACCCGAAAGTTCAGTTAGTTCGGGTTGCTATGCTAGCATTTCACTTTTGGGATATAAGATTTCACTTTCGAATTTCCATTCACACAAGACATTGCAACAATCTAAAATGGACTGGTGATTCTGCTTTTTCAAACTTCGTTTCCTTACCATAAATCTTTGTTCGCAAAATAGTTAGCTTGAGTAATGCCCTCCAAATTGGTTCATTGCTTTTCTATTTGTTAGAGACAATCTCTATGACTTGTACACACACCCCTTTGTCTGTGATGTGGCTGGAGTTCACCACTATGTGTTACCCTGCGGTCATATCTGTGACAAGACATGCATGTCCTCCATGTTGGTAGTTTGGAATTTGCTTGTCAATATATTCCTTCATGTATGTAGTTGATGTGCATGTTCATTTGAATTTGTGCATGAGCATGTAACAGAATCGACAAAGAAGCATAAGCATTGAGAAGTAACAATGGTTTCCCATATTTTTTCTGTTTTATATTAGTTTGCAGCAATTGATCTATTTCAAAAATTATTCTTAATATAGAATTTCTGTAACTGTCCAGTAAAACCTTTTCGCTCTATGTGTTCTTCCTTTTAAGTATGTGATGTGATGGTTTACACAAAACTGATAGTGCTGGTGCAGAGAGTTCTACATGATGAAGATGAAAAGTTGAAAGGTCTGAAGAATGAATTTGGTGATGAAGTCTACAAGGCTGTCACAACAGCTTTGACCGAAATCAATGATTACAATCCAAGTGGAACATATATCATTTCAGAGCTGTGGAACTACCCTGAAGGTCGGAAAGCTACTTTGAAAGAGGGAGTCGCCTTCATACTGAAACAATGGAAAATCTTCAAGCGCAAGAGCGGGATGGATTGATGGTCGGAATTATGTCATGCCTAGTGTAAACTATTGCAGTCCGTATCTATGTCAAGAATAATGAAGGGTCACAATGCCACTAGAGTTTTCCATATAACAAAGTGGCTGGGTGATGCAGACATAGTTTTGAGAGATCTGTAAGAATGAACTATGGAACTATGTTGGTTGCCTTTATCCTTGTATAAGGGTAATATACTCTCTGTTGCATGTCATGTATCTGTGTTCTCGGTTTTGCAGGTATTGTAGATTTAGCGTACAATTAGGCAGTATAGAATCCATTGAGGAGTTGGATTTGAGTCATAACCGCACTCATCAACATCTAGATGCCGTTGGCACTGTATTGTGCTCCAAAAGCAAGCTGGGCACTGGCTAGACTGGAAACACACGCCTGCGCGCATGGGAGGCTGAAGGAATCAGGTTATGGTATGTGGCCGGTTGCTACTGTTAATGGGATGGAGTGATGGAGAAGATAATTTCTTCTACAGCCTCTCCATCTATTTCATGTGCTCTTTCTTGCAAATCACCTAGTTGGCGTAGTCGTTATTTTCTGTTAACGCACCCCTCCCTTCAATCTTCACTCACTTATGCATAGTGAGAATCGAACCCAGACAATAGCTACAATAGCTGGGAAGGACGATGGCAACAATTATGAGGATTGGATGTTTTCTCGAAAACCCACCTGATTAGAGCAAAACCCAAGAGAAGATAAAATTAGAAGTAACGATAATGCAGTGGAGTTTATGACACGAATGACTACAAGGAAGATATGAACATTGTATTACTGGTAATGAATTCTGGTTAGTAACATCATGTGATGACATTGTCACCTTATTTTTGTGATATTTTTTACTAAAAAATATTTTTTGGCAGCATTTTCGTGAATTAACACGTGAACTGACACATAGCAGCATTTCCAAAGACCAGAAGGGAAAAACACTGATGGAAGCCCAGAGAGGGAAGTTTTTGATAAGGGGCAAGTTGAGAAGTTGCATGCTTTCAGGTAGACTGAGTAAGTGAGTAATTGGGTTTTTCTACCTGGATACTACAAGGTCAATACTGATGGAAGCTCCAAAGGCAACCCAGGTCCAGCTAGTATTGGAGGCATTCTTACGGATGATAGAGGAAATGGATCAAGGGCTTTATTGGAAGAATTAATCACACCACAAATCTTAAAGCTGAACTCTAGGCCATTCAACAAGGTCCACAACTGATTCTGGATATGAGTGGGAGCTTCATCTTGGAGACTGACTCCTTAGAAGCTTCCAATCTGCTGGTTGGAACCCAATCAGTTAGCCGCCCTTTCAAGGTCGTGGTGGACATTTGCAAGTTAATCATCAACTCGTTCAATATATCTGTGATACACACGCTTAGAAAGGGAAATCAATGCGATGATAGCCTTGCGAATTTAGGCGTGAATCAATTTGTTGATTTAGTAATTCTTGATGAACTATCTGATTGTATTGTACATTTGCTAAGGTACTAGACATGTCTAGTACTAGTTTTATTATTAGGGAATCCAGATAAATCTTATTGAGGTTCCCTTCACAGCACCCCCCGCACCCCCCCCCCCCCCCCCCAAAAAAAAAAAAGGGGGAAAAACCATAAAACAAAAAAATTGGTTCATTTTGTGATTAAATTGGCCCTTTAATTGGAGTAAATATTCGGTTACACCGCATACTCAGTAATTTTTTATTTATTTTTTGGGGAGGGGGAAGGGGAAGGGGAAGGTGGAGAGGGAGGTGAATTTGAACCATTGACATAAAAAAAGTAAAATTTTTATAAGACAAGGAGTATGATTAGACCAAAGGTCTATTGATTATAAACAATATCACATGATGTAATTGTTTAATAAAAAAAATCAAAAATCAAATAAAGTGGAGTCCTAGAATTAAAAAAAAAATCAAAATTGTTTAGGGTATTCTTTAAAAAATTAAAAAAATTTGTTTAAAATTACTTTCTAACCTTTTATGTTAAAATAAAAAAATAATTATATGTATATATTGATTATACATAATAGTTACCAAACTATGAATTTTACATTTTTGTTAAATCACTAATTATATTTTATGAATATAATAAACTAAGAAGTTATATAAGACACGCGACAAAATTCTAAAAAATCAAAAAAAAGTTCATACAATCAGTTTTTTGAATCAACTTAAATAAATTTTTTTAAGTCTAAAAAATTATTGCATAAATTGGTAAAAAAATTAAAATTCAAACGAATCTGATTTATTTTACTCACAAACTCTTAAAAATTATCCATTTAAGTTAACTCCAAAGAAACTCGTATTATTTACATGGTTGATTATTTAATATTGTAAAACTCGCTTATTCATTTATTAATACACGTGACACTGTTAACCGTTGCGCACAATACTTTCTCCTGGGATCATCGAGGTATGGTCTTTTTCAGTGTTCTTTACTGAAAAGTGGCACTCTCTCTCCCTCCCTCCCTCCCTCCCTCATGTAAGAACTGTTAACTTCCCACTTCCCATGTCTTTGAGTTAGAGAGGAGTATACTTGCAAGCTTTCTCCAGATATTCTCAGTAGTTTTGCGATTGTACGGCCTAGTTCGCGACATTTTGTTTGTCTGGTTGTCAAATGGAGAATGACATTTCCGAAGAGATTCGAAAGGCCCGTAGGTTGGCTATAAGCCTTGCCAAAGAGGTTGATTTCAAGAACCAAAAGCTCTGGGAATTGGAGCGCAAATGTGATGAGACTTCTGCAACTCTAGAGAGGATGGTTGCAGAGAAAAATAAGCTGCATCAATCTTATGAAAAAGGTTTTGGCCTCATCTTCTATACGCAATACAATAAAATCTTGTTCATTTGGTACCCAATTTTTTTATGGGTTTCAACAATTTATGAGCGATTGTGTTTGTTTATATGCATGCAATATTTCTGGGTTTGTATTGTCTGTTCAATACGATTTGTGGGGCGTGAACAATTTTCATTCAGGTTGCACCTATGAATTTGGGTCTACCCACATTCAAATTTCAACAGATTGAACGATTGATTATAGTATGCTTTTGTAGAAATGAAAAAGGCGCAGTTCATTGAACTACAAAATCGGAAGTTGAAGCACGATTTTGAGTGTGAAACAAGAAAGATGCAATTGATCGAGCTAGAAAATGAAAGGTTGAAGCAGGATTTGGTACCTCAAAGGAAAGAACTTGAGCAGCGGATTAAAAAATTGGAGAAAGAAGAGGCGCAAAATGACCTTGAACGCAGAAACTTACTTGTTGAGAAGCAAAAAGTAAGTAGTCTTCATCGTTATAGAAATATAGCAACATTTATCATTAGAGATAAAATCTCTTATGTAATTTTTGATCCATTCTTTAATCATTTCAAGGATCTAAAATCTAGACGTCCTACTTGCGAATCTTGATAACTCTTTGGGTTTAACCGGATTAATCATGAATACCCTAGTTACGACATGAATAACCAGTAGATCAAGTGGTAACCGGTACATTACAAACCCATAGGGTTATCAAGATTCGAATTTTGGCATTCCCTTGTCCAGGTAACGAGGGATTTATTCTCTTGAATACGTTTGATTGGACAGGAGAGGGGATTAATCGAAATGCGCCTAAGTTGGTCCTGATAACCTTGACCATGGAACCAAAAAAAAAAAGTTTCTGAAATCAATTGAATTGGTTGAATTTATGTTTGCATTGTTATTGTGAAGAGATCCACAAAAGAATGAGGATGGGTGGTATAAATATTGTGTGAGCCTCGAGTTGTTGGCTCCATATAACTCTTTCTCAATTGTGTGTAGAACTTCATTCTATGTCCAATACTTTCCTTGTTATTTTGATTTTATTCTAGATTTTAGTTGTTTTGCTTCAATGTGACATTAGGATTTTTGGCCAAAGAGGCACTCTGTGGTTCTTCCATACAGCACTCATCAAGGCAAACTTAAGGCTTGTTTACCCAACTCCAGTCTATAGACTGTGCCTGATAAAATTTGTGGGAGACAAAATAGAAGGGCTTTAACTTTTAATTCTTATTTATATTTTGACTTCGCAAAAAGCCAGCGTTGCATCCAGGTCTCTAATGATGGGTGGCAAGAGGCAGTGTAGGTAGACCATTTAAGGTTATTACATTACTGAAGTTTTCAGATAGTCTTGATAAGTAAGAAATCGAAACCCTTTGGGCCTCAAGTTGGGTATAGGCCATATGCTCGGTGGAGACCGGAAAGATGCACGATAACCTCGCATAAACTTCTGAAATTCACATATACCCTGGCATAAGTGATATATGGCTGATGCAAATGCTGGCATCTCAAAATATCAATTTTTGTTTTAAGAAAATTGTTTGTTTGTTGCAGTCATTCATATCAACAGTTCATTTATATTTGTTATCACTTTCAGTCACTGCTTTATTTTGAAATTTTCTGTTGTTTCATTAAATATTCTTTAGGCAGATATTTCATTATTGTGTTTTACTGAACTTCCTATTAACCTGATATTTTAATCTGTAATTTCAACTGAGCAGCTGAAGGCTTTAACCCCTCTTCAGAGTGACTGCGGTGTGACCATCCAGATAGATGATTTGAAAAAAAAGTTGGTGGACAAAGATGACGAATTGAACGATATGGAAGCCCTGAACCAAGCTCTTATACTTAGAGAGCACATGAGTAACCATGAGCTACAGGATGCTCGCAAAGAATTGATTAGTGTGAGGGTCACAGGCATCATCTTTTTGGCATATGACATTGTGCTTTTGCTAAAGTACATCTTCTCTACAAAAATTTTCGATGTGATAGGCATTTTGGACATAAAAGCTTGTTATTTTGCCCATATAGGTTTTGCCAAATCTTCTGGATGCAACCACAATCAGAGTTAAAAGGATGGGAGAGGTTCATCAGAAACCTTTTCAAGATGTATGCTTGCAGAAATTCTCTCTGGAAGAGTGGGAGGTGAGATCAGTGGAACTAAGCTCGTTGTGGCAGGAAAAGGTTAACAATCCAAGCTGGCAGCCTTTCATGAAAGCATTCAAAAATGGAAAGTGGCAGGTATGGCGTTTTTCCGTTTTGCTCCCCAATATCAACTAGTTGGTGACCACACCTTAATTTAATACGTATATAAGACAGGTATTATTGTGTAGATATATATGTAAGCATCAGAATATACATTGACCTTCAATCAATAATATTAT